CTGTAAGTTATTCATCCATTCAATGAACAAAGATTTACTAAAGGCCTGCAATTTATCAGGAACTCCTCTTAGAGCTGAGATTTTTATAGTGGATAAGTCAGTAAGAAATAATTGCCTTCATGAGGCTTTGGGGAAGAAACAGATGATAAATAAAAGGTAAATCTTAAAAAGGTGGCAATAAACTCTACAGAGAAAAAATGGAGCATGGAAGAAAGAAAGTGCTAGTGCTAGCTAGAAAATGGTGAAAGGAATCCATTCCCAATAGCTTGCCACAGAAGGGCTTATTGAGAAGGGAGTCYTTAAACAAGACCCAAGGAGAAGAGAGCATGAGCCCAGGGGATACTTAGAGGAAGAAGAACAAAGCCACTGAGATGAGACCAAGGCTGGTATTTCTGGAACTTGTCAAGGAGGTTAATGCTGAGTAAGCACAGGGGATAGTACCAGGAGGAGAGGCCAGAGAAATAATGGAGATGAGATGGGAGGCTGTATCGGGCCCTGCAGACCTTAGTAAGGACTCAGCTTTTCCTCTGAATTATGTGAAAATCATGCTGAACTCAGGGAAAACCTGAGCTGACATGTTTTAACTGGATTATACTCGCTACTGAGAGAAGAAGTGACTTTAAAAGTTGTAAGGTTGAAAACACAAAGTCTATTTCATAGGCTACTTCAATGAACCCAGAGTGAGGGTGTGGCTTAGATGAACATAACAACAGTCAATTTTGTAAAAAACAAACAAATAACAACAACAACAAAAAAAAATAGGCAGACTCTGGATCTATTTTGAAGATGGAGCCAACAGAATTTGCTGGAAAATAAAATAGGAGGAAAAAAAGTGTACCTAAGGAAGACACCAGGTTCTGGGTATAAGCACTCTGAAGAGCTGTATTATCAAGACATCAGACGGGAAGTTGCATCCTTAACAGTCTTCCAATCCCCACTTGACTCTATTTCTCACACAAACCCTGCTGGGATTTTAAAGTTTATGAAACACAGGTATGCACTAGTAAGTTCTGTAAGTGCTGGAAACTGTATCTATGATCCTTGCAACTACACTGAGAGAATGTCCAGGAAGGAGTCAAGATGCTGGCTTGTTTGCTTTGCARACCTGTTTCTTTGCATCCATTTCTATCCCACCAAGGAAATATCTATGTTATGTCTTCAACAYACACTTTAAAGAAAGGAAAAAATGACAAAGAGGCATTTTTTCTTGGTTTTTGAGCTTCAAAGTAGACTTTATTGATATTTGGCAAATGCAACTGCTTAGGGAGAATCAGAGCAATTCCAATCCTCTGTTTTCTCTTACAGAGATGCACCCTCTGCTTCCTGGGAAAGAAACTAGGACAAAGGAATTGACAGGAGATGGGGTGAAAGAAAAAAATAGAGATAGACAGTACCTGTATGGTGCTAGTCCCAAGTGACTCTATATCTTGCCCCTTTCCAGCACTAGAACAATTTTTGATTGTTAAAAGGCCAATAGATTTAAACATGTGGTGTGGCTCAAACCATAGTCTAAAGAATATATTCTCAAAGGGCTGGGGATGTAGCTCAGTGGTAGAAGGTTTACCTAGCACATGTGACACCTGGTAGGTTCAATGTACACCAGCACAGAACAAAACAAAACAACTCTCCTCAAGAAGCCCTGCATCTAGCACAGCGAGAAGCAACTGCTGAGTCAATGTTAGGTCTAATCAAAAAGCATGGTCATCTCAAGTGCCCCAGAGGGGAGGGAACACAGAGAGCTAAGAAAAGGTCATGAATATAAGGGTCTTTATGCTTCAGGCAGTAATCTTGGAAGGAGCAAGAGTTTCCAGAACAAAAAAGAATTGGATAACAATCAGACAAGTACCTCGTTTGGGACTTACTTGCCCTACCACAATGTCAGAAATGTGAAGGTGGGTCTCAATGTTCAACTCAGAACATTTTAGACCTGTATGCAACTCACTGATAGAATCTAAATTATTTACCCCAACAAGTCTAGAGAGTGAGCAAACAACAGAAAAACTAAATTGTCTGCAAGGGCAGRAGAATCAGAGTGCAAAATTAGTTCCACTTTGTGAAATAAAAGTTGCATTTTGGCACGTCTCAGTCTGAGAGCTGTTTCACTGCTATATTTGATTCTTATAATACTTTTAAGTAGATGAATAGTGGCCCTAAAGATATCACATCCTAATTCATGGAACCTGTAATTGTTACCYTACATGGCAAAGCTTTTGCAGATGTTATTCAGGGCTTTGAGTTGCGGAGAATATTCTGGATCAATTAGGTGGGCCCTAAACCGAACCAGAAGCATCCTTTTAAGGTACAAGCAGAGGAGAATAAATACAGACAGAAAAAGAAAATGCAATGGAATCACAAAAGCAGACATTCAAGAAGTGTGACCACAAGCCAAAGAATGCAAACAGCCACCWGAGTCTGGATGGAGCAAGGAACAGATTCCCCTTAGAACTCCCAGCAGGAAAATAACCCTCCAGATTTGTGAAACTAAACATCCCTATTGTTTATGTCACCAAGTTTGTGGTAATTAGTTATAGCACTCTTA